GACGTCAGAGTAAGCACAGTGGTGCAGGAAGTGGAAATAGTTCGGGCTCTAGAGACAGGCGGATCTGTTTCAGATCTCGATTCTGATGCTCTGCACGGACTGGGAGCCTCTATTTCTTCAAGCTACAAACTGGGGAAGTTAACACAACTTTCTCAGAGGGCTGCTGGGAAGACCAGAGAACTCATCCACATAAAGCTTGAGCATTGTGCCTGGAGCACAGGACCTGCTCCTTCTCTGCAGGCTGTTACCATCCCACAGTTAACTATTATCTTGGTCAGATCCCCTGTGGTGATACCTAGAAGTCTTTAGACATGGCTGCAGCGGGGGAGGAAAGCAGGCCTGGCAGAGCCCCCCGAGGGCAGAGGTGCTGATGTGCTGAGTGCCCCTGAGATGAGACGCTGAGCAGCCCCGGCCACAGGCTTCTCCCTCCAGGGCTGGTGACTGGCCTGACCTGTGCCTCCAGTCCCAGCCCAGCCACCAACTGCCGAGGCACCTTGGGCAGGTTGGCAGCCCTCTCTGGACTGAGGCATCCTCAGCTGTAGCAGGAGGGCGTGTCACGTGATGACCGTTAAGGAAATGTCCAGCCAACACCGTCGGCCAGGACTGCAGGCTCATCCGAAGGCTTGGCTGGGCAGGAGAGACCCCTTTCCAAGCTTCCTCACCTAGAGGGGAAGGGGAGGGCATCACCCAAGGGCACGGATGCCAGGACCAGGGGTCCCTGAGGGCCGTCTTAGAGGTTGCCTACCACACTGGGAGTTGGTGCCCTCGGGACTAGGCCAGCCCCCTAACCCTTCCAGAGTTCCAGGCTGTGCCCATCACCCCAGGCTGGGGACTGCCTGAGCCAGAACCATCAGCTCCCAGATGGGTGAGTTTTTCCCCCAGGGAACTCTGTCTACTCCGCGTTGCCACACAAAGCAACCAAACACTGGCCCCTTTCTGGTCTCCTTCCACAGCCCTGGCCAACACCTTCTCACACCCCAGGCTCCTCCGGGGCTCTTACTCATTTGCACCCATATGGCTGCCCCACAACCCCTGGAAAGGGCACCCCCCAGGATCCAGTGGTGGATGCAGGGGCTGGAGCAGGCTGCCCTGGACTGAGTCTGAGTGTTGGGTGGGAAGGCTCAGCAGCCTGCTGGCAGTGAGGACTGCTCCCACTTCCAGAGCCCAGATGCAAGAGGTGCATCCGAGGCAGCCTTTGCACTCCTGCAGGGGGCAGGCGGCGGACCCATCGTCAGTCCCAGACCCAAGCGAAGCCAGGAGTGACGGAGGCCGAAGGTGGGAGAACGCTGGCATGCCTGCAGAGCCCACACCTGGTATGTCGACAGGAGGAATCTGCAGCCAGGACAGCAGGAGGCCCTGGGCCGGGGTGGCCAGACTAGATTGGGAAGTCCTCACCCCGAGTCTCAGGATTCCGGTTCAGTCCTCACTCATTCTTCGTCTCATACGTTTTTATCGGGTGCTGGGGTGCCCAGGGGCTACAGGTAGGTTTTATTTTATATGCCTTTTCCCTGATTGGTAGCCGCTGTCTCAGGCACTGTGTCCAGGAAGATTCTGAAGCCAGGCTGAGAGGCTGGAAATGACTGTCCGTGGCTGACCAGAGGAGGAGGGAATGGAACAGCAGCTCTTGGCTGCCTATTGGCCACCCTTATGCCAGGCACTGGGGATACACAGAGCACAAGAGAGTCTTGGCCCGGTCACTTGGTCCTCATCCTTGAGGAGACCGCAGCCTAGTGAAAGAGCGTGACAATAAACAAATGATTAGAATCCAGTGGGATAGATGCTGTGAGCCCTGGAAGTGTTAATTTAAATGAAACAGACTCTCGAAGGATTTGTTAAACCATAACCCAGCAAGGTCATAAGCTTTTATTGGTTCCATCATGCATCTGAGAGAGGAAGAAAGTGCCAATGATTATTTTCTGATTGGAAGAGAAATTTTTACAAGTATATTCTCTTTGAAATACAGATAGATCAATTACAACATTATTACCAGAGACATAAGTGATCAGTAAGACAAAAGACGAGAATTACAGACGAAGGAGGCTAGGGGTTATGTTCGCAGTTCACGGCAATAATTTCTAAAGGCTCAGGAATCTTATCAGACCCCTTTGTTCAGAAACTCCTCAAAAGACAGATTTATTTTCACAGAACATACTCATTTTGTTAGTTATGAATATTCACATATCCATATTGCATAAACATAGAATGTTCTTCTGAAAGTTCTTAATTTAAGACCTTATGAAATCAAGTTATTTCAACGAGTTTTATAGATGCTGAGTGACTCTCCCTCCTCCACAGCTGCAAGGGAGCAGCGACATTTCATCTCTTTTTTTAGATTTCTTTGGTTAATTATGAAGACTTGCAGTTTTGAGGCCTGGCCCTGGCCTAAAATTTCACTTCTTGAATTTCATTTGATGGTGCTGTCAGAAACCAAGAAAGAGCTAAAGAGGATTTTTTTTTTTTTTTTTTGGCTTTTGCTTAATAATAATAAAGTAAGGTGCACATAGGTTTCTTTATGGGCCCGGATGGGCACACCAGGACAAAGTGGGGGTGTTTTTATGAGGCCCTTCCTGCTCCAGGTGGAGGGAGAGGGTATGCCAGTTCCCGTGAGGTGGTCTGCCTTGGATGGAAGGATAAGGAAGATGGGGTCGGCTGTTGGCAGACAAACCTGACAAGCAGGCACTTAGTAGGCTTTGTAAATAAAGGTAGATCATGAACTGAAGTTCAAACACCGGTTCTCAGGCAACTCACCGCTCCCCCACCCCCACCCCTCGCCCTGGCTATGTGCCAGGGACTCCCTAGGCTTCTTGGTTCCAGTTCAGGTAGAATGAATGTGAGGAGCTGAGACATGAGCAGAGGGCTCCCAACATCAATCTTTCTCCCTCAGGTTGCCTACCAGAGCTGAACCCCACCTCCAGCAGTAGCTTTGGGGAACCAGAGAGCTCAGAGTTCAAGGTGAAGTGGTCAAAGGGTCCTGGGCAAGGGCCCTCTCAGACTGTGGACAGCAGGGGTGGGGTCAGCCTCAGAGGAGGCTACTGGGGTGAGGTGGGGCCACCTCTTGTGGTCAAATGGCAGAAGGGACCATGGCTGATGCACCTTTTACACTACGTAACATGGGTTTAACAAATTCAGGAATCAGGCAAGGGGCGTAATGGAAGCGAGATCCAGCTGGGCAGCCACTGGGGTCTCCAGACTGCCCTGGGGTAAGTGGCCCTGGCACAGGGATTCCCTCGCAAGCCTGGGACAAAGTGCTCTTCCTTCCCAGGACCTGGACCAGAAGAAAGAGAGGGGCCAAGCAGAGCCCACCACCCAGAGGCCCCTTCCACCATCCTCTGGGAACCTTCAAGGGAGAAAGGTCGCTCAGGAAGCCTGGGGGTCCTCAGGCCTGCCTTCCCAGGGCCTGCCAGAACACCCAGATCCCCGCAAGGGGCTGGGCTGGAGCCTGGGCCAGGACAGAGCAGAACTTCAGAAACTGCCAAGGACTGCGATTCCTCAGAGTCAGAGGGAGAAGACGGTCCAGGGGCAGAGTGGGGAGACTACTCAGGCTCTGAGAGAAGTCGTCTCTGGGGGTCCAGGGTGGGAGACCCCTCAGGGTGAGAATAAAAATGCTCTTCAAAGCCACAGAGGAAATTGCCCTGAGTGCCAGAGAAAGGGGGCCCTCTTGGAACCGAATGAGGAGACCTCTCAGGGCGGGGAAGTGAAGATCCTTCAGTTTTCCGGAGGCGGAAGCCAAGACTCACAAGCCAGGGAAGTGGCTCAGGGAGAGACGCCTACACAGCCCCAAGAAGAAGTAGACACCCTGGGAATTCTGGGCGACTTCTGCAGGTCCCGAGGAGAACAGATGCCGCAGCCTAGGGAAAGGGAGAGGCCAGGCCCCGGGGAAAAGAGCACTCGGCTGATGCAGGACAAGACTGATGGCCAGAGACAAGAGTCGGCACTGGCGGTGGGAGAGCAGGGGGCCGGCCTGGAGGGAGCACCGGCTCTCATTCCGTCCGCGAGGCCTCCAGCCCCGCCGCTGCTCCCAGTCCCAGGAGCTGTGATGCTGGCGGCTCTGATCACCGGGGACTCTGAGCAGCAAGAGCGCCCTACAGCTCTCCCGGGGCACCCAGGGATGGTGCGCAATCAGCACCGGCTGCGGGACCCGGGGAGAGACCCGGGCCCCGCGGTCCAGCAGGTGCGCGAGGCGAGGGGGCCACGGGCAGGCGACTCTGCGGGGCTCCTGGACGCCCATGGGGAGAGAAAGGGAGCGGCTGAGGCCCCCAAGGCCTCGAAAGGTGCGTGGCTCAGGTCCCCCGGCAGGGAGGCTTCCGTGGCCGTGAGTGCAGCACAGCAGGAGACGACCTTGCAGCGGCTGCTGGAGCTGCACAGCGCGGCGAGGCGCCGGCGGCGGCAGGACTGCGAACAGCAGAGGCTCCGGGTGCGTCCCCCGCACGGAGCGGGCCAGCTGGCAGACGGGGCAACAAGAGCTGCTAGCCGACAGCTGACAGCTGTCTCCCTTAGGTCCTGGGACGTCTTAGCATCGTCAGGAACCGCCACTGCCGGGTGCACCCCCTGGGGTCCCCACCCAGCCCGGCTCAGCTCTCGTCACAGGCAAGACCTCCGGGAGAGGTTAGTAGGGGCCTTGGGCCAAGCTGGGTGCGTCCTGGTTCCCTTTCAAGTGTGTGCACCGCGCACTTGTGCAGACACAGATCGAGAGCTGGGAGGGGGCTGAGCGGGGCGAGTATGTCCCGGTGCTGCCCCCTGCTGGCTACGTCGAGCTGTGGGGCTGGGAGGTGAGCGCGCTCAGTGCCCCGCACTGCCCAGGAGGACGCTGCGGGGCAGCGGCGCGCCCTGCAGGAGCAGCTGAGACAGATGCACCAGGAGAGGACAGGGTGGCTGCGGGCCCTCGGGGCCAGGTGAGGGGGCGAGGGGAGGCTTGTGGGGGTGGTGGCGGCCCCCTTTCTCTGGCATCTGGGATGACAGGCCACTCTCTCCCCAGGAATACCAAGAACTTCCAGCAGCTACTGTGGTCCCCTGGCACTGAGAAACCTGCGCCTGGAGAGTAGCCTTCAACCTTCCCAGCTCTCGTCTAACCATTGCTGAATTTTCAAAAGGATGATTAAAGAGATGGGGGTTAAGGAAGAAGCAAGAGGCCAATCTACAGATCAGAGGTAGTTTCAGAAAAGCCCAGAACGCAGTCCAGGGCCTGGGAGAGCCAAACACACAGACACATGCAAGAGCTTCTTCCCACTAGGTGGCGCGTGATTCTTCTTCCCTCCTCTAAGCCGCCTCCTGGCCCAAGGTCAGAGAGCCAGGTCCCTGGGGTCAAGCAGTGCGAAGGCCCCGTTCTTGCGGAAGAACGATTCAATGCGGCACATCTTGCAGGAGACCAGTTCTTGCTTCACTGGGGGACCTGGGAAAAGATGTCAGAGGCCAGTAATGGGTTCCTGAGAAAGGAACTCACAGAGCACGTCAGGCCCTGCCTGCCCAGCCCTAGGAATTTGCCTGTGTTGTATCCACTTTCTAAGTGTGAAGAAATAAAAAGTTCTTATAAAGAGTGAGGACTATGGGAAGACAGGGAGTGGGCTGGGTGCCCAGATCAGCAGTGATGGCAAAATGACAGCCAGCCTCAGGATCCTCCAGCCCTGCTCGTCACAGGGACAAAGCTAGACTTCTTTGAAACAGCTAGGTAGGGCTTTTTTTCTACCTCTTGCTCTCCATCTGGGCTTTCTTTCATTGGAATTGCTCTTTTTACTGTCCCTTTAGAGCCCTGAAGAAAGTGGGGGACTTTTTAGGCAAACTTTCAATTGTGTGTATCCCCAACCATACACCTGTTCTGTGCAGGTTCCAGCTGCTGGAGAAAGACGCATGGCTGAGTAGTTCACTTGAAATTCATGACCACAAAGAGCAATGGGACACTCAGCATCACCCAGCCACCCTGCACCACTCCCTGGCATGATCCTTCTCCCACACCTTAACTCTTCCTCTCAAACTACACCACTGTCTCTGCTCCTCTCCCTTCCAGCCGACGACATTGACTCGGCTTCACAGAAAAAGCAGACTCAGTCCAGATGGACAGCTTTCCCATCAACACCATCTCCCTACCCCTCTGTGTCCCCTGGTTCTCCTCCCATCAGACCCCAGAATCTACAGCTTCCTGGCTAAGGTACCCCAATCTCATGGCTTTAAAGAGTACCTGTTTTCTGATAACCCCCAATTTGCATCTTCAGCTCTGACCTTGATCCAGAGGGCAACTGCCTCACTGACCACTCCAGTTCAGGGCCGACGCTGACCTGTCTTCACACAGCCTCCAGCCCTGCTCCTCTCCCCGTCTGCTCTGTCACAGCTGCTTCAGCCAAACACCTGGGTGTCCCCAGTGCATCCTCCTTTCCCTTTCTCACATTCAACCCATCAGAAAGTTCCATTGATTGATTCTTCCTCCAAAACATATCCTGAACCTATTTCAGCTCTACTGCTAATCACCCTGGCCCAAGCCATCATCATCTCTTGCCAGAAAGTAGCTGTCTGAGTCATCTATCAGTCTATGTTGTCTCACAAAAAAGCCATTACCTACAGAACAGTCAGGGTGATTTTTTTTAAGTGTCACTCATCTGCTTAAAACCCTCCACTGGCTTCCCCTCGTATTTAGAATAAATCTCCAACTCCTGCTCGTCATTTAACTCTCAGCCTTTAGGTCCCCAGAGGTCTTTCCTGGCAATCCTGTCTAAAGCAGCATATGCGCCCTGCCCCTACCCCATCACTCTCTAGTCTCATCTGGAACTTGTCCCTCTCAGACATTTCCTTGCTCTATGGACACCCCAGAAAGGAGCGTCTATGCCTCTTTCACGACTCCTGCCCAGAGCACTATCTGGCTCATGGCAGGTGCCCGTTTGTAAGGTGAATTGTTTCTGGGAGGTTGGGGCTCACCCAGCTGCCAGCCATATGTGAAGTTGGTGGTGACAGGGAAGAGGTAGCGCATCTCTGGCATGTCCAGTTTTCGGGTGTTCAGGTAGTGGTAGCGCCCCTGGAGGTCGTGGGAGATGCCTTCGTACAGCAAGGCCCGCGTGGCAGGTGGTACTGGGTACATTTCTGACTGAATAGGAGCTCCCGGGGCAGGGCTAGGGGCCCTGGAACGAACTGCTTTGGGTGCGGGTGGGGGTGAGAGTGGGGTTTTGGGGTACAGGGTGGGCAGTTTGAGGGGGAGGCGGGCTGCAGCCTTGGCCTTCTGCTTGGCCTTCACCATCGACCCATACTTGCGGTGCCATTCACAGCGCAACATCTTCTGCCTCAGAAACTCCTCCTTCCAGAAGTTCTGTTGCACTGTGTCCATGTTGAGTTGCCGCGACATGGTGGCAAGGGCAAGAGTGGTACCAGGGTGTCTGCGGCTGAGAGGTGAGCAGAGCAGGTCCTTCTGACAGCAGATGGCTGCCCAGGGACAGTCACCAGGCAACCAAGCCTCACCTCACACAGGGCCAGGGTTCTACTTGCCATGCCCTCAGCACACCTCACATGCCTTGCTTCCTGAGGCAGCCTGAGGCCAGCGCCCATTGGCTAAGAGCCTTGGTCTCCACAACCCTTGCAGGACCCAGGCCCAGTCTAGAATCACAGCTTCCCGGTTTCCTGTGTTTTCTGCTTCCATCTTTTGGGCTCAGGTTCCCTCCCAGCCCATACAGACTGAAGTTGGGGAGCCAGGGGTCTGGGTACAATCCTCCCATTCCTCCCTGCCAGAGCTGGTCATCTTTGATTCAGACCAGTCCTTGAGTTATGGCCTCCTGGCACAATCTTCCTTGTCCAAATCCTCTGTGCCTGGGTGTTTGGCAGAACCTTTTCCAGCCCGGCCCATCTAATCCCCCGCACCAGCCTCATCCCACACCTGTCTTTTTTAGCACCAAGGCTTAGTTTGGAGAGAAGAATGTTACTTTAATTTAACATCAACAATGACATTGTAACAGCACAGGAAAGAGGTAGTGGAGAGAGAAGACACTCAGGCTTCCTGTTCCCTAACCAGCCTTGATTTTAATGGCAGAGCTCCAGCAACCTGGAAGCACCTCATCTAGCCTCTAGGAGTGGGAAAGGGCAGGGAATTGGAAATCAGAGGCTCAGAACTTAGAGAGGGGCTGATGGCAAGCCTGGGGAGAGGCAGCGGGGATGGGACGAGTCCTCTAGCGCAGGTCTTCGGCCGTGAACATGCCCTTGGCCCTGCGCAGGATGGAGTCCTTGGCGGCATCGTATGGGTGCTCCTTGGACGGGATCTCCAGAACGGCTGGAATGGAGCGCTGGTGGGCATCAAGCGCGTGCCGTACCATCTCTGCAATGTACTGGTTGATGAGGATGATGCCGATGTCATCCCGGTTTAGAAACTGCCTGTGGGGAGAGATGAGAAGGGAGTCCCAGGCCCACTGGTAGGCTGGGCTACAGAAGGGAATGTGCTTGACCTAGAGAGCACAGAGGACAAGGGTAAAGGTTGCTACACGAAACTCTCCATTCTCTCCAGAACCAATTTCATTCAGAAACTAAGGGCCATGGTGGTCAGTTTTCTACTTCCCCTTCTTGGAAGGCTCTCAAGTGGACTGGTAATGAAGATTAGGGTGCATGCCATTTTATTCCGTATGTTGCCTTTGTGTAAGAAAAGGAAAGGATAATATATGTCTGTCCCTTTGCATTTGCATTAAAAAAACTGGAAAGATAAGGAAGAAGGTAAGTGGTTATTCATGGGCGTGGAGGAGGGAGGTAATGAGGTAGAATAAGGCTGGTGGCAGTGAGACTTCTCAACTGTGTTCGCCTTTTAAGTATTAATTTGCAAACCACATGAACTCATTAACTTTTCAAAGGAAAATAAATTAACTTTAAAAAAAAACAAACCATGAGCTGACTAAACACCTCAAGGTCTATGCTGATGAGGGCGGGGATGGATCATACGAAGTTCAGCATGAGCCAAGAACACAACACAGGAAGTGGAAAATCATAATGAAGGAATCACACTTTCCACACAGAGAGAACTTGGTACTGGGATCTTCCTTTCTTGTGATTCTCCCACCCATTCATTCATTTACTTATTCATTAAAAACTGTTTTGTATTATAAAGTTGTACATCTGAAATTTCTATAGTTATTAACCAATGTTACCCCGATAAAATAATTTTTTAAAAACTACTGAGCACTTACTGTGTCAGATAATAGGGAAGGTTAGACTTGGTTTCCTTTGGCATGTGAGAAACATGGCAAGTTCTTGGGGTGAAATTTGTCCGCCCATGACAACTTTGGGTCACTTTACCAGACTGCTTGCAGATCAGCAGAGATCAGCTTAGAAGTCAGCCTACCAGCCTCCCAGCCTCCCAGGTCAGGGCCTATTATACACCAGGCAGCAGGAACTAGTCTCAGCCTGCAGCTCAGGGCTGGGCTGTTTAGGGGAAAACAGGTGAATGAATGCTTTTTGTTCCTGAGACTTGGCAAAAGGGGCCCTAGAGAAGGGGTGAGGGAAAGAATAGGGGGCTGATGTCCTCAAGTCTAATCACCAGGACAATGCCTGAATTAAGAGACAAGCCTGCAGAAGGGAGGACACAGTCCTGATCTTCTACCCACTGTGCTTAGGACAACGAGAAATTCCAAGACAGACTGGGGAGGGCGGTGCGCCTTGCAGTGCGCCTACAAGGTAGAGTGTGGCCCTAGCTTAAGAGGCAGAAAGGTTTGGGACTGGGTTCAAATCCCTGCTGTCTCTTCCGAATCGTGTGACTTTGGGACGTGCTTTAACCTCTCTGAGCTTTAGTTTTCTCATCCATAGTGAGAGTAATAACCCTTACCTTACAGGACGATTGTGCAGTGCGCCTCTAAGGGAGACGAAAATACAAGAAAGCCCGAGTTCAGGGCTCCCTAGGTGTGTTCACTGTGTGCGTTTCCTTTAGGGGTCAACTCGCTAGAGCCGAGTGCCTTGCAATGCCAGTAGCCTGCTCTATGGGTGAACTGGGAGAACCCCTGCAGAGGAACTGAGACTGGCCGCCTCTGAGGCCCGGGCGCTCTGGACACCCAGCTATGAAGTGGCAGGTTCCACCAAGGGGCGGCGCGCCAGTCATGAGCTCTGTTCCCCTTCTTTCCTGATACGCAGTCATGTGAGGAGGGAGCCCTGATCCCACCGAACCCCCAGAGGGAACCTGGGGCGCGGAGGCCTCTCCTCCGGAAGGGCGGGCGCACTGACTTCCCTGACTTTGGAGGCAGGGACCCAACGCTTCAGCCAGGGTCTGCAAGCCCCGCGCCGCCCCCGCCTTCTCCCAGCGCTCCCACCAGGCAGCAGAGGGGCCTGTTCAGGCCTCGCGGGCTACCGTACCGGAAAGTGTCTTCGATCTCATTGATGGTAGTATCCTTCTCCACCACCAGGAAATTAGGGTGGCGGTTCTTGTTAAGCTCCCCTATACCGCCCAGCAGGAAGCCGGTCACCGTGTCTTCGTCTCCGATCACCGCAATCAGCTTCCCCCTCCCGGCCATCCTCGCAGACCGGCAGGTTCGGCGGCGACCACCACGTCACCGAAGCCCCGCCTCCGCAGAGCTCCGCCTTTTCGGCCGCGCCCCACGCTTTAGGCATGCGCAGTTCCGCCACTCCGCCCCCGGAACATGCGCATTAACAGCAAAACCGCCTCAATCGGAATGCGCCTGCGCCATAAAGAGAGGCCTGAATCCCGGGACTACGATTTCCAGAAGTCTGCGCGGCATCGCGGATTCGCACAGGCACTTCAGATTGTTCCTTCAACAAACGTTTAGAGCCTACTATCGTTAGACCCCGAGATCCCAAAGGAGAAGATAGTGTCTGTTCTCGAGAGCAACGTCTGGGTCTGTGTCATGTATGTATGTATGTAACTATGGCACATAGTTAATCATTACAGAGTCGTTCAATTGGTAAAAGGATGAGCAAATTAATGATGCTACTGTCTAGTGAGGTAGAGTCCAGTGAACAGGCAATTATAAAGCAGTGTGTTAATTGCTAAAATGTGAGAAGTACGTGGAAGCATACATCGGGGTAACTAACCCACGAGAGAGGGGGCGCTCAAGATTGCCAGCGGGATGAAGCGGGTACCAATGAGGACCAGAGGGTGTTCCAGGAAAGAGGAGCAGCCCGTGCAAAGACTTAGTGGCAAGAGAGCATAAGTGCCTTCAAGAAAGTTAAAGAATCTGGAAGGTATTCCTGAGGACAGTTATCCTGAAGCCACTGAAGGATTTCAATGAGAGAATGATACCCCCAGATTTATGTTTTAGAGATAGCATTGTGCAGAGGCAAGACTGAAGGAGCAACCATTGTAAGAGATGATGGTGGCCAGAACTCAGGCAGTGATCACGGGGAATGTGGAGAAGCAGATGGAGTCAAGAGATAGAGACAGAATGGGAACATTTGGATTGCATATGTCTGGAGAGTGAGGTAGAGAGAGCCAGGGAACCCGCAGGCTTCTGGCCTGGGCAGCGAGGTGGCTAGGAATAACATTCTGAGGGAGTGAACTCTATGAGGTGAACATGTTGAAGAGGAAGGTCCACTCTTTCGTCCTTCTTTTTAACAAACTGGCATTCTGACGTCTGGCGTGTGATTTGGGAGTTCAGAGTACTTGAGACATCCAGATGGTCTACCCTACTGGTTATTTGCATGATAGGCTTGGGATTTGGGCACATCTGGTTTGAATCTCAGCCCTGCTATATAGAAGTATGATTTTGGACTCGTCACCACCATTCTCAGGGCCTTGGTTTTGTCACAGAACAGTATGCCCACCTCATAGGCTGTTAGAATTAAGTGAGTTTGAGCCCAAGTGCTCAGCAACCGGGGCCATACCGTGGCCAGGGAAGAGCAGCAGGGCTGGATATCCATAAATGCATGAACACACAGATGGGTGGCAGCAACTCATGCAGGAAAACCTCACACCTGGGGGTGAGGAAGAGGGAGGGCAGAGAGGAGGGCTGTGTGGAAGTATCTGGCTGAGTGCCTGGCATGGAACTGGCCTTTAATGGCTGTGAGTCTTTGGGTACTTAAAGGAAAAAACAGATCCCGCCTCAGTAGATCTGTAAGATAAAGGAGCTGAGACTGCCACATTCATCATATACTTCATTCAGCCAGCATTTATCAGATGTGGCCACAAAGAGGTGAGGATGCAAGATTGTCTTCAAGGAGCTCCCTCAGGACTGAGGGGGGAGTGAAAAATATCAGAGAGAGCGGGGCAGACATACAGAAAGAAAATACAGAAAAAAGTCTTGAGAGGGCAGGATTCAGAGTGAGAGAGAGAGGGAAAGGGAAAGAAGAAAATTAAAGAGCAAGGAGGCTGATAGGCTACTGAGTGAAGATGTGAGGACGGGGAATGAAGCTGACCCGCCATGTGCTGCAGTGTCCCAGGTCAATTGAGTGAAATGCTTCTGTGCCCTACTCTGGCTACTCAGTTGCTCATTCATTTATTTATTCATCACACCTCCCAGGGCCAGAGTCTCGTGGGGGAGGCTGCCTGTGGATACATAGTCACAGATCAGGGTAGTAAATGCAGCTAGAGATGTGCCCCAGGGAGTATAAGAGCTGGGGGCTGATCTGGGAGGGATCTAGGAAAGTTACCTGTTGGACAGGAAGAGGAGGAGGGTGGAGAGGCAAGAGTGTTCCCCAGCAGAGGCCCAAACTGCAGCATGGGTGCCTGCTAACTACAGGCTGTGAAGAGGGATTGGCACTGGAGGATGCAGTGGGGAATGAGCATACTGCCCAACTTGGGGGTTTCTGGAATGAACAGGTGGGGAGGCCGGACCTGGACCTAGAAGCCTTGAATGTCTTGTTAGGAAAAGCAGACTTTAGCCTGGAGCAGGAGGGAGCCACAGAAGGGCCCTGGATCAAAGGGCATAATCCCTTTAATGTGACCTGCTCTGGCTGCAGCTAGGAGGGTAAGTTGGAGGGAGCTGGCCCAGGCCAGGGAGGTTGATGGGTCAGGGAGGCTAGTGGATAGGCTGATGGGCTGGGAAGACTAAGGCTGGTTCAGGAGGGAAGCCCTGATTTAACACAGGACCTGGCTAGAGTGAAGGTTCCTGTGTTTGCATATGGTTCTGCCTGCCTGCTGGGTGAGGAGCATTCCTGTTTGAGTCAGCGCTCACTTTTAAGGTCCTAATTTGGAGAATATCCTTGAGATCAGGCTGAATAGAAACTGGCCACCCAATGGCCCTAGGGTAGACATCTAAACCACAGTGTCTACCTCCACCTCCCATCCACCAGCTCTCCAGGAATCTGAGTACCAATCCCATATCCCTGAGCCAGCACCCCCGCCCCCAGTTCTTCCTGCCAACATCCCAGACCTCACCAAATAGATGGCCCAGAGGTAGAGCCTTCTGCCCCAGGCCCTTCCCTTCACTCTGGGTCAGTCCTCCAGGGGACAGCTAGCTGGCCTCTTCCTCCCTGGGGCCTGATTTAGTGTGGGGGGCGGCGGGGGGCCAGAAGGTGGCCAACCATTGAGAACATGCACACAAGGAACAGCCAAGCCTCTGCGACAGGCCGCACTTTATTTGGAGTTTTCCACCTAAGCGGCTCCCAGCTGAGCCGCATGCCATGTGCAAAAGTCCCCCCAGAAAGCTGGGCCTCGCAGTGTGTAAAAAAGGCCCCCCATGGGGCATAGCTGTGCAACCATAAAAAAAAGAAAGAGAGAAATCCAGCCCCCAGGAAGCCTGGCTGGGACATAAATCGCCCTGGGCCAGGCCACATGCCAGCGCTGCTGCTGGTTCTGGGTCCTTGTTCTCCTCCGACTGTGCTTCTTTTCCAAGTTCTTAACACTGGGTTGTGGCCACCAGGGGGCCAGATGCAGTCCTCAGCATAAGGAGGCCTGGCCAGCAGTACAGTTTGAGGGTGCCCTCTCACACACGCAGACACCCCCAAACGTGTGTTCCCCCACTGGCCTCAGCCCCAACCAGAAAATTCAGGGCTTCCCTGACCCTCTGAATCCCCAGTCTGCCCTCATGTCACATTTGAGGGGAGGGACACTGCCCTGAGACAGACAAAGCCTGGGGGCGTGACAGGCTGGAGAGGCAGTGCCATTTATTTTAAACCCCAAGGCAGGTGTTTGTAGTGTCTGATTGTGCGTGTGTGCATCTGGGTGTGGCCCATTCGTGTATGTCGGTGAGTGTGTGTTTGGCCAGAGGTCGGGGCTGAGGCTGGGGGAGGCACTTCTGGGATTCAGGGCACGTTGACTTTGAAGGGGCTTCCGGGGACACTTTCATCACCCCACTTGACAATGAGGATGTAGTCGCCTTTCTCCTTGACGGTGTAGGTGACGTTGTATACCCGGTTGCCCATGTGCTTCACGTATACCTCCTCACATGGGGTCTTAGGCCCATGCACACCCACCATCATCATGTTGGTGCCTGGAGAGAGAGGCAGCGAGGGTGGGCTCACACCAGGGGTCCTCGCCCACACAGGCCCCGCCCCGCCATTCCTGCCTCCTCGCCCACCCCAGGAGACCGCCCATCTCCCCCTCAGCATGCCTGCTTTGCTGCAGTCCACGGTGAAGGAGTTCTTCTGGCCCACAAAGGCCTGGGACAGCCCGGGGCCGCGTGTCACCACCTTGCTGGCATCTGAGGAGAACTTGGGGATAGAGCTGTAGCTGGAGCCCCGGCTAGAGGACGACTTGGTCACTGTCTCCACCAGAACTGTGGATGTTTCGTGAAGGCTGTGGCCTCCAGACAGCCGGGGACCTGAGGGGCAGAGTCAGGTAGCCGTGAGCCAGGTCAGAGTCCTGCCCCTCTGTAGGCAGTGGGTCCTTGGCACACGGAGTCGAGGGCTACGCTTCCTCCCTCAGCTGTGGCACCCCAGGAGCAATGCCCCACTCTGAGAGAGCCTGGGTTATGGGCCCTGTGGCAGGTGTACCCTGAGGTCTGGGGCTCTGGCGGCTCCGTCTCTCACTCTTCTGGGCTTCGTCTGGGAACTCAAGTCACACGGTAAGAGTCTTGCTTTAAAAAGGAATATGTATCCAACTAATCCTTCCCAAAGCTTCCAAGAGGAAAGCTTGCTAAATATGTACTGAGCTCTGTCTTTTTGGAAGCCAGAAACGTGGGAAGCCAAGAAGGCAGAAAGTTAAGCTAAAGCTTGGGGAGCTGCCATAGCGAAAAGAATAAACAAGTGATTGACAACAATAAAGAGGAAAGATTTGAAAAATGATTCTGTGTGAATCCACCTGTGGAATATGGGGGGTGGTGTGCTATGTAAAGCTAAGTGCACTTCCTGATAACTTGACTGTGATGTTTGGGGCAGTCCATGATCCAGATGTGAATGGCTACTGGAGCCATCCATGGTGCGCTGGGCTGCAGGTTGGGCTAGAGGGACCTCCCCCTACCCAGGGCACTCACCTGTGACTTTGGCCTTGAAGGGGCTGCCCACGATGTGTTGGGGACCACCATACTTGATGGCAATGAGGTAGTTGCCAGGGGCCATGGGAGTGTAAGTGACCACGTGGCCCTCAGGACACTCCCGACAGTCTAGCTGCACCTTGGAGGGGCCATCAATGGTGACAGACAAAGCCCCTGAGCCTGCATTCAGGGTGTTGACGATGAACTCCGA